TCAGGTGTTTTTGGACTGCAACTCCCAGAAGCCTTCACCACCAGCTGTGCTGGCTGGGGTTTCTGGGAGTTGCAGTTCAAAAACACCTGAGTAACTCAAGGTTAAGAACCACTGCCTTACAGTACGTACTCGAATTTGGCACTAATTAATTATCAGATCTGACAAGAAGGATATAGAATCCTTGAATGGCCATGTCTTATCCTGGTACCTCCTTGATAGTCTTTTTCTGCACCCAAGTTGGCGCTCGATCAGTTTTTCCATGTTCGTTCTCATCCCCCTCTCCTTAGTAGATAACAGATTCTTTTCTTTTATCTCCACATGAGATAAATATTACTAATAGTATTTACATATTCACATAAAGTCCATATTAATATTTATAATTTCATGGTATTTTAATTTTCTCTTGTTTTAAATCTTGTTTTGTAAGCTGCCTTGAGTCTCAATTGTGGGAGAAAGGTGTCACATAAAATGAACCACCAGGCAAATGAAGATAATACTATAGGCTACAGATTTTAATTAACTAAAATTAATCAGTCTTAAAACAAAATATCCTGAACATGTTTGTTCTTTGATACCCATGAAAGTTTGCAAATATTAGATTTCAAAAGCTTTGAGCTATGGTGGACACAACAGACAGAGACACGTATTCATTTTGCCATCATAGCTTCCAGCAACTGCACCCTACATGTACAACCAACACGAAATATTTTTTTAAAAATGATAGCACAGTTTGGGAATGTAGCAGTGTACACTGTAGAAATATAGAAAATAGGACATTACATAAACTTATCATCTATCACATGTGGTTTTTTTGAGAAACTGATTTCTTTTGTGTGAGATCAGAAAAAGTTAACAGAAAGTTAAAAGATGATATAGCAAAATTCTTGTGTGATTATGTGTTACAGTAAGCAAAAGGAACTTTAGGCTGTTCTTACATAAATGCATAACAGAGAGAGAAAACAATAAACCTTAGGGACTCCCTGAGAAGAGAGAGATAATTTGAATAACTAGCCATTCTATTAAAATCCTTGAAACAAAAAAACAAACAAAAAACATATAACAGCATACAATCTAAATGATCAGTATCAGGGATAAATAAATTATGAATATTGGGGAAGGGGCAGACTTGCAAAATATGTCTAGTGGTATACTAATTAAATATAAATTAAAAGAATGTTTTCTATTATTATTCTGACAGAAGTTAGGAAATGGCATTAGAAAACTGAGTTAGTTACACATCATGAACATACGCAACACACCAGGCAAAGTGGAGAATTTTAAAATCTAATTATTTCAGTGGAAAAAATTTAAGAATGTTATCTTCCCAGTGAAAATAAAGATAACTTTATTTTCCTTAAATTAAGCCTGGATTCTGCTAGCAATTTTTTTGCTTGCGTCACAAAAAGTGGCTGTTAAGAATGTTAAGAAAGGATTTTCTGCTGTTACTTTCTTGTTTTAATTTCTTTTTCCATAGTAGCACAGATCTGCATTAAATCAAAATGCTTATAAAGTGTCAGTGTTAACTGTAAAAAAAAGTTTTATCCTATAACATGTCTCAAAATCTTTCTTTTCAAAAAAAAAATCTTGTCTGCTTGACAACTCCAGACCTAAGAAATGGTTTAGCCATTTTCAAAAAATTAATAAATCTCCCTCAAAGCTAAAAAAACATAATTCAAGTTTCTGCTGGAAGCAAATTTAAAAAGTCTAGTACTTTAAACCCTTTAAACACCAGAGATTCAGACAAGGAACAACCAATTCCTTTTTAAGAGCGGCAGTGGTAAGCATAGGCCACTGTAAGCTACGCAATTGTTGGCTTGAGCATTAAAAAACACTGATGGTAGGATTACTACTTATAGTGGAAGCGTGCAGGGTCGAAACTCAATAAACCAAACTGATGCCAACAGAAACACTTACCCTGCCTCAGAAAGAAGCCTGTGATGGATCTGTTCCTTTTACTGACATGCTATATTTTCCACTTCTGAAGAATAGTAGTGGCAGGAAGCCCTAATATTGAAGATTCCCCCCCCCCTTCAAGTGGCTCTGGAGCAGATTCACCCAAGAAAATATGAGAAAGTGGCCATCAGATTTGTGTGGCCTCTGCTACAAGCAGCCACAAATTCCTTTGGTTGTTCATAACAGGTCCATCTTTCTCAAAGTCTGATATTCTATGAGCCCTACAGTATGTATGAGTTCTACACATTCTTTAGTCCTTCCCAAATATTGTATGCATTTTTATTTCAATCCCATTGACATCTATTTTTCAAATATAAATAGTTTTATATTCAAATATAATTTTAATTACGTGCAGTTTCCAAAGATACACATAGTTTACAGTGCATGTTTCTTTGCTAAAACTCATATGTGCCAGTATCAGGAGTTATGAAATTGGTATTTTTCTGTTTTATTTTCTGTGGTATTACCACATACCTTCATTACCTCTAGAATCCATTACTGGAATGGACTGGGCATGGGGCTATCTTTGTTTTCTTGAGAAACTTCAGTTAGAGCAGACTGCCGTTATATGTCAACTGGCATTCACCCATAGGGTCATATTACATCTATTCTGTAATACTTGTACCAGTTGCCAATTTATTTTTGGACACAATTCAATGCTGGTTCTTCTCTTTAAAAAGACATGTTTCAGTGTGGGATACTGTACTAATTTGTCTATACAGTGTAATCTGCTGTATAGAAATCTGCTCTTTCTATTCCTCCTGTGGCTGAAATGATGTTGTTTATGAAAATAAAGTGGTTATATAAGAAAACATACGTACAAATGGCAACACATTAACTAACAGCAATTCACTACTGCAATTTACGCCACTGCATTTATGCTGCCATAACTAACCAACAGGATCTGGTCCTATCAGTAATCTAATACTAAATACAAATAAATGAAAGCAGAAAGAAAGGCAATTCATAATGAGACTGTGATGCAATTACATCAGAAGCATTTTGAATGAATAGCTTTATCTGCAGTGATGTCCTATTCTTCGAAATATAAAGGACGGTGTTATTCAAGTGTATGTAGTATGGCAGTGTCTCTCAGGATACTACTCACTTCTGTGATCATGGAAGGGCAATTGCACAAAGGTTTCCTTGCTCTCTGGCAGCCTCTTCTCTGTGTTATCCATCATATACAGACTGTGATTACAGATGCAGAACAATAGCACGCAAGAGGAAGTGGTGGGGAATGCTGAGCAGCTGCTTTTACAATTATGGGCTTGTTTCAAATCAATTTTACTGTACTCTGATTGTCCAGTATCTATCTTCCATGCTGCTTCAGGCCCAACCAACACACAAATTCAAGGATCATAATATAGTACTGTTAACAAATAAGCTGAAAAAATTGTGTATTCAGGTCATACTTAAGTAATAAGTATTATTTGTGCGCAAGAAGCAGATTTAAAGTTCTTGAAACAGTAACTTGCCTTGCTTTGTAACAATGGATGAATTCGTACATTCATAAATCTATAAACTTATATGTGCACACTTTTGCATGCTTTCTTAATATGCATTTTGTATGCATGTCTACTAAACATAAAAAAATTCATAAGTAGTTTCTTTAAGAGAATGTTGTTTGGGGCGTTTTTTTTACTAATATATACATTGTAGTGCATACTTTCCTATAATAATCCATATTGTCATGCATTTTCCCACAGATGAGTACATAACAAAATTCTTAAAACCAAATACCAATGCATAAGTTGTTTCCAGTTTATGTATAGATTTGGGAAGTGTGAACTAGGTTGGTTTTTACTGAGCTGAAAGCTGCACAAAATTCTCCTCAACATCTTATTACCATGTAATTTCAAAACCCAGTTGTTTAAGGCAAAACATTAATTAGTCTTCAAGTAATACCACTCTAAACATTCTGGCAGATAGCTCAGCTAAATAAATCAAGTGAGCTTGCTGCAGTCTTGAGGTACTAATTTATACATATATGCTTGGAATGTGTCTGAGCAAAATACATCTGTATATATCGTCAGTCATGCTTTGCCACAAAATGTAAACACTATGATTGGATTTATTCAAAGAGGACCAAGAAATTTACACACGTTGGCAGGATGCAGTTCTCAAATGTAAATTTTTGTTTACCATATACATATGTGCCCATATGCTGAATAGAAATTTTAAATATTGCAACTAAGAAATATATTAGGAACATTTTTATGAGAAGGAAAGAAAAGCAACCATCACCAAAAAGGGAGAACATCATAAGCCTTTAAAGGCCAGGATTCCCTCACCCATAGTACTGCTTATTCACCACAGGGAGGGCACTTGTGTTGCCAGAACTAGAGATGCAAAATTTCTGAAAATTTCCAATTTTTCTGGAAGAAAATAGTTTTTTCCCTTATTTTTTCTTGGAAAAAAAAATTGAAAATCTTGGAAATTTTACATCTCTAGATTCAGACCAAGATTTGAAGAAAGATTGAGACAGAAAATATATTTCAGCCAGTGGGAATACATGACTACCATATCCTGAAGCCATCTTTACTATTTTCGGAGTTCAAAACAGGTTTCCTTAGGAACTTCTCTAAAAGTAACTGTGACCATTGTTTCCATACGACCTTTTCACATCCTTAGTAACGCCTTGAGAGGTCTGCTTTCAGAGCAGCATATTAATTCTCCATCCTACCACATTTGTGGAAATGCCACCACACACACTCAGTATCAGAGTCTAACCCAGACACTAAAATGTGAGTGAAGGTGAAATATAAACATCTTGTCAAGTTGGTAGTAGACTGACACTACTTTACAGAGGCTAGAATGTACAGTATTCTTTGAAATTACACAGCACAGTAGTCACCGTTCCCACTGTTGCTTAGGACAAGATCCTCACTCTTCTGTGCTTTCACCGTGTTATCAACATATTCATTTAGCTAACTTTCTGTCTCTATATGTGTGTTCCCAGCATTGCAGCTACTTCATTCACAAAAAACACATGTTACTCCAGAGTAAAGAGGACAAATAGAAAAGAAAACAAAGCTGCTTCTTACCATGCGCAACCCAGCCATGTTTACACTGATCACAGGTTCTCAGATTTATCTTCCCTGGTTGGAAACATTCACATGTACAATTTACCAGTGTGCAGCGTATAGCCTACAAAGAGAAAAGGGAAAACATCTTCTATGAACATTTAAATAATCTGTATGTCCAAGTTCTTCATATTTATAGTCCATATGAGAGCTCTGTTATCATCCCAATACTACAGATGCTAGGTGTCGCATAGGAGCATGGCGGCATGGTGAAGATCATGTGATAAGTTCAAGGCTCAGGTAGAAATTGGAGACTTTCAGGCTTATTATCTATCATTTTAGCCACCACACAATACCAGATAGATACTTGGAATGAGATCCAAACCACCTTTACACACACCAAAAATGCTAGTCTAGTCTAGCCTCTGACTTCTCTCCCCGTGCAGCTACAGCTATTTGTATCTCATTGAATGCTGTTCTCGGAGGGTCCCTGACCACGAGGAGTAGATTTTCAGGGGCAGAAAAACTGCAACACAAAAAGGGGCCGAAGACGGAACTAAGATTACACCCAGAAGAAAACAGTGAAGTTTTAAATGGCGTTTAACTACATTTTGTTTTGAATATAAAAACTGGCTTAATTATGTGGTGATATTTATACAGTACTTTTTTTAAAAATGTACTTGTTTTTTCAGAGAGAAAGGCAGAACACAAATAAATTGAATCAAATAACTAATAGTGAATTGGCAGAATGGCTCTCTGGATCTTGGCTATAAAATATAAACAGAAAGAGATTTTTTTCCTGGTTTGCAAAACAATTATTTCACATTAAAAGACTTGCTGGTTTTCTCCCCCTTCCCAAAACAAGGACTATCATAAGAAATAAATTTATTATAGTGAAAGAGCAATTTCAATTATAGGATGTGTTAAGTCATCAACACACCATTAAAACTGAAAAATTGTATTTAAATAATGCAGACTAAAGTCCACATTTGGTTTTTAAACATAAGAGATTATGTATGTCTTGCAGAGATTTTGTGGTTTAACTTTCTAAAAGCCTGATGGTATTTTTAAAGCTAGTTATATCTTCATATTGTAGCATGTCATGTTAGTTATAATGAAGAATATGGTCAAATATATATGTTTATGTTCCTCTTGGCCACCATCCTGTTCTCTCTCTCTCTCTCTCTCTCTCTCTCTCTCTCTCTCTCTCTCTCTGTATGTACCGGTACATTGTTGTTGTTTTTGTAGACATAGAAATAATTTAATTTAGTACGCATCAGAATTATTGCTGACCCAGTGTGTTCTCACGTACCAATACAATGACCAAGACAGAACAGAACATCCTCAAGAAATATGTGGTTATTTTCATTCACTTCCATTACTTCTTTCCTCTTATAAAACACAAATGTTTGCCTCTTGAGAAGTTAGATTTTCCTTCAAAATTATGCCCCCCCCATTTCATAAAATGCATTATAAGGAGGCAATATTGGAACACATATGGGTCAAATAGAAAGATTATTGTAAAAATGAAAGATATATAATTTCTTTTAAACCATAAAGCAAATACATAAATAACGAGCAAGGCTTTTTCTTTCTAGGCCAAAACCTGAGTTTTTAAATAGTGTTAAAAATGATCTGTTCTCGTTCAGCAACTAGTAGTAAATTTACGGCATGCATTAGATTTAATTTGCACACATATTTTTGAAATGGAGGGAATTATATTCATCATTCACACATTAACAACGTACTGTAACTACTGGAAATGCCAGGAAATGATCACTCTGCTGAATTAGATGCAACCAATGATAATTTCAGGGTCAAACATGAGGGAGGGGAGGTTGCTACCTGTAATTGCAAGAACATCAGAGTTTTCTGACTGCCATTTGAACAGATTTATAGAATTGCAAGTTTTTATATTACAGAAATGATCTTTGTGTCAAAATGAAGATTTCGGCTACTGTCCTATAAAGATTTATTTGGATGTCCCATTGAAATGGTGAGAGACAGACTTCCAAGTAAACATGTGTGGAATTAGCTCATTTATAGGTGAAGGTAGCTTCCTAGAATCAGAGGCCTGTTGTATGAATAGGTAGTTCTGTGCTTATAAATGGAAGGGACTGCCAATTTCGCATTCCAAATTGGAGCTCACTGATTGGACTGCATTCTATACAATTTCTTGAAGTTCAGGAACAGTATTCAAGTTCTGGTGGGCTGCAAGGGGCAAAGTGTGTGGGAAAACCCTGTTGTGCATACACTGGGTATGTCACACTGCCTTTTTGATCCTATTGCATGAGCAGGCAATATAACATGTCCAAAAAAGTATGGCACTGTATTTCTAAGCACAAATAAGGAGAATAGTGGCCTTTTCCTGAGAGTATTAACATAAATAGTGCTTTAAGAATTTTGTCTCTTGTTCACCAGACTCTAAAAAAATCTGACTGCCTTCCCCCCTCATTTTCTGTCTTTTTACATGATTTTTCCCCTCTCTTCATCACTGCTTCATATTAGAATCTAAAAAGGGGCAAGGGGACAGGTACCTTGCTGTACTACATCTGACATATAAGTGTCCCAACCAATGTCAACTGACAGACTGCTCATTAGCAAGGTTGTAAAACACTGTTGTACCTATCACTGGTTAAAGGAATTAGAAATATGAAATGTAAGAGCAGCCACAAAGTTGCTGACTGGGCAAGAATAATATATGTGATTGTAGGTTACAAGATGAAGTAAGGGAGGGAGGGTTCTACGAAAAGGTTCTTTCTGTGTTCAATACTTTATTGACTCAGTAATATATCAGGTCTCTCCTAGTCAGTAATGGTGTCTTTCTCTAATATGTTCATTAATTAATGAACTCAGTAATTAATTGCACTGCAAAAGGGAATAAAAAAAAGAGAAGCCCTTGTGCTTTCTTTTAAATTTTGTTTGCACCACATAATTCACAATGCACTGGCGTTTGCCTTGTAACTGAGTAAAACAACCAGGACCCCTAAATTTGTGGGCACTACAATTTTGACTAAAGGTTATGAACAATGTTTATAAATATTCAGCTCCCTCTTTAAGAAAAGGTCACTAGGCTGGCAGGGAAAAAATCAACAGACTGAAAGATGATACTTCAATCCAAGTTTAATTTTTACTGTCTGAATTAAAAATTATCAATTTAATAATATTTTTAAAATCTTATTAGTTAAAGAGAACCCCTCAGCCCACATTTTTCTTTATTTCTCTGCAGTCACATATGGTCATTTTAAACCTCTATATCCTACATCAAGTTCCATTTACAATAGTAACCTGTAATTACAAAATGTATATACAGTGGTGCCTCGCTTAACAATGTTAATTCGTTCCAAAAAAAATTGCTATGTGAAAACATCGTTATGCGAAACGCCATTTCCCATAGGAATGCATTGAAAACCGGTTAATCCGTTCCAATAGGAACAGATTGCCGTCCTTAAGCGAAAAAACCCATAGGAAACATCGTTAAGTGATACAATGTTTCCTCCATTGGAAGCCTATTCAATGCATTTCAATGGTTTAGCGAAGTCAATTTTTGCAAATTTAAGTGTGTCATAAAAGCGTCAAAAACGGTTTTAAATGCTTGGAATAGTTTCTGCACCTTCTAAAACGGGTGCAAACTTAATATGGCTTTGATCTGACTTTTCGTTAATTTTTGCT